AAATTATTTCTTTTGAAATGAGTGACACTTTCAACGGAAAGGTAGCTGTTAAAAGCCCAGATACCAATTTCTCAGTTATCAATTTCACAGTCAAATAACCTAGCTGATGAGGCCATAAGAATTTCTCATTGATTACAAATGATTTTTTTTGTTAAGACAGATTATATTAACAGTAGTTTTTAAAAGGATCCTTTTTTTAATACAAAAATTTCCATTATAAGCAAAATGCTAGTCATGTGTCAATTTTCAGAAAGTTACTGGTAGTCAGTCATCCAAAGAGCCCCAAGAACTGTCAGGTAGATCCACCCAGGGCAAAGTGCTAGCTCTAGGTTTTGTCAGCTCACCAGCATTTCTGCTTCCTCACACAAGTTCTTGCTGTTTCAGGACAAGACAGCATTTCTCAAAACCAGGTAAAATCACCCAGAATCAGTCTAAAAGACCAGGAAAATCACACTTGTTCTGAGAATCAAATATCTGACTCTAAAATATCAGTTATATTAGTAAATTACACTTAATTCACCCTGAATCACCTAAAGGATTATACTCTTAAAACAGCACAGAAACAAATTGTTATTATGCATTAAAATCTGCTCATTGCTTCTGCACCAAGCTCCTTCATTTTTTCACTCTTAAGATCATAATGTGTAGGCGAGTTTCGGTGGCCTAGTGGCAAGAAGCTGCACTGCAATCTCAGAGGTACATGGTTCAAATCCACTAGATGCTCTGCTGGAGAAGGAGGAACAATCTTCTCCTGTCCAGTCAGATCTGATTTGACGGTAAACACAAAAAATAATGAAATAAAATAAAATTGAAAAAAAAAATCATAATGTGTAATTTTAAAAAAGGAAATTAATTATCAAAAATAAAACAGAGATTAAGGAGGAATAATCTTCTCCTGTACCAGTCAGATCTGATTTGACGGTACACACACGCAAAGAAAAAATAAATAAATAAATAAAACAGAGATTAGTAAAATTCTTTCACCTGGGTATTCAGTTAATAATAATAAAAAAAAAAACCTTCATTTTTCCAACACCAGGATAGTTGTTAAAGTTTTCTAAAAAAAAGTCCTAATATCTGAATAGAAATAGAAGCTCTACAGCAAAAAATATCTAGTCCAATATCCTCCTCCTCTTATGGATGAGAAAATGCAAAGTCCAGGGTTCAAGAGACCAAATACCCTGTTTGAACTTTGTCAGGTCACAATGATAAACATAGGCAAGAATCAATGAAAAATCTAGTATACTATCGTTTCCATCAAGTCAACTTTTCAACACTACTGCTTTACAAAAAAATGGTTTCAAATGTAACATGCAATAACAACTATATAAATACACTTAAGATCCAGAAATAACATAAGAAAGCCAGGCAGGTGTCAGAAAGGACTCAACACAACTAAAGTCAGCCCAGCATCCAACAGGAAGTACTGGCTGTGATCAGAGTGCAACAAAGGACTAAAATAAGATGAACAGTTTCTGGTTATATATTTTTCTCTACAATAGCAGCTCCCATCCCCCATCTGTAAAAGTCGTTGTGTTGAAAACGACTCAGCTGATCCCCCCACAGGTTTTCAGAGGCAGTAAATAGCCCAACAGGAGACAGCCCACATTTGTCCCATAGAGCAGCTAGTGGATTAGAACTGCACCCCTTTGAACTGGGAGTGCAACTTCTTTGTTTTGAATTTATCTGAACACTGGATTAGAACTGCACCCCTTTGAACTGGGAGTGCAACTTCTTTGTTTGTTTTGAATTTATCTGAACACATTTATCCAATAATCTTCAAGTGTCTATTAAGGCATTTTTTTCCTCCCTCGCTCTTCTCTTTGAAAAGTAAAAGAAAAATTCTTTCATTGTTATACCATCCCATCCCCCCCACTGTGCATTCTTTGTTCTGGACTCCTGTCATGACAATAATACCTAATCATATACCCCTTTTAAACAGTTTTCTCCCTTATCTGTTTCAATAATCTATCCCATCTTTCTCAGTCTCCTTCCAACCCCAATGTCAGTCCCATTTTATAACAGTGGCACTATGCAGTATTTGTCCTTTTGTGACTGAGATATTTCACTCAGCATAATGTCCTCAAAGGTCACCCATTTTGCATAATCTTTCATGAGTTCCTTGTTTTTCAATGCTTGTTGATGGGCACTTAGGTTGTTTCCAACTCTTTGTGACTGTGAACAAAGCCGTGTGTAACTTCTTAGTACTAAGCAACCAGAGCTCACTCTCATTTGGTAGAGAGATAGCATCACGATGCTTCCTACCCACAGAGATGTGGAGCTGCAGACATGCTCCAATAAGAATGTCCTTGATTGTGACCTCAGTGCTGATAACATTAAAAAGGAATGAAGTTTTGGCCAGGCTATTTCAGAGAAAAGTGATTGGAAGTTAACTCAAATTCCCTGTCTTCAACAATCTCTAGCAAAGTGAACTTCAGAGTAGGGCTGGAGGAAGAGACTTTGCTTAAAAGATTAGGAAAAAAGGAAACTCATGTTTTTACTAAAACACTGAAGAGAACACTTTACAATCTCTCTTTCCAAGGGAGCTCTGGTGGCCTAGTGCCAAGAAGCTGCACTGCAATCCCAGAGATACATGGTTCAAATCCACCAGATGCTCTGCTAGAAAAGGAGGGGCAATCTCCCCCTGTAGCAGTCAGATCTGATTTGACAGTACACATATAAAAAAAGACTTTAAAAAAATAAAAATCAAAATAAGAGATAAGCAATCACGAAAAGTGCTGAAGAATTTTCCCAAAATGCATGTCCAAAATGCATTGGACAAGCCCTCCTGTGTTATTATATAAAATACAATATTAAAATATTGAGGGTTTTGATGTGATTTATAATGGCGCAAATACACATGTATTCTATACACAAATACATATGGAAGTTCTGCTGAAGTTATTGAATAAAGGTCTTGTGGACTCCAAACTTACAATGTCAGAAATGTCACACAGAAAAAAATAAAGTAATAGAATGGGGGTTATTTTAATTAGGGTTGTCAGGAAGGTGTGAGAGGAGGATCTACCCAAGCTGATCTCTACACAAGGCCAAGAAGAAAGCATGTCCAAAAGTAACAAAGTGGGAATGAGAATGGCATAGCTCACAAAAACTAATTTGCATTCTGAGTACAATGGGAAGCTTTCAAAGATTATTCAGAAGGGGTATTATAAGGCTTAACATTTAAGAAAGACCATTTTGACTGATATGTGAGGATAGACAATTAAGAAAAAAGCTGAGAAGTGGAGATGTAAAACAGGGAACACTGACTGTAAGGGGTATATGTGGGAAATGATCAGAGTGGGTTAATGGAAAAGTTAAGAAGTGGTTGGTACTGGATATACCCTGAAAGTAGAACATGCAAAACTTGCTGATGTGTACCAGATGTGGAAGGAAAGGAGGAGATGAAAACTAAGGATGACTCCTAAAGTTCTGTTCTGTAATGGATGACTAAGTCATCTTCAAAATCAAGAGGGGAAATAAGTGGAAAACTAATTTACTCTAAAAAACTCAAATACAGTATGAAGTTTTGTTTTGGGGTTTTGTTTTTGTTTTTGTTTTTTTTTAAAAAGGAAAGAGTGGAAGTATGTGTGAAAAACATTCTATTTTGAAAATATAAGACGTGAGATGTTTAGCATATACCAGTCTTGCAGAGGGACATTGTGTTTGGGAGAGTAGAGGGACACAGCACAGGAAAGGAAGACCCTCGATGAGATGGATCGATTCAGTGATTGGGGTAGTGGGAGTAGGTGTGTCGGAGACAATGAGGTTAGGACAGGATGGAGCAGGGTTTAGGGCTCTTATACACAGGGTCGCTATGAGTCGCAGGCAACTGGAGGGCACATTGTTGTTGTTATAGGCCATTGAGTTGTTTGCGACTCACAGCAACCCTATGTACAAGAGCTCTAAATGTTGTTCTATCCTGTGCCAACCTAGCCATCTCAAACACATTTATTCCCACTGCTCCAGTCACAATCGATCCATCTCATCAAAGGTCTTCCTCTCCTTCACCGCCCCTCCACTCTGTCAAACATGATGTCCCTGTCCAAGAACCAGTCCCTCCTTGCAACATGCCCAAAGTACGTCAGACAAAACTTCAGAATCCTTGACTCCAAGGAGCATTCTGGCTTCACCTTCTCCAGGACAAACCTGTTTGTTCTCCTAGTAGTCCATGGTATATTCAACACTCCTCTCCAGCACCACAGCTCAAAGGCATCAATTCTCTATCAACCCTATTCACTGTCCAACTCTCTGATGCATAGCACGTAATTGCAAAGACTACAGCCCGGATCAGGCACACCTTAGTCTTCAGCCTGACGTTGTTGCTCTTCAGTACTCTTGAGAGGTCCCTCACAGCCGACTTTCCCAATGCAATTCGTCTCTTGATTTCCTGGCTGCTGTTACCTAGAGTGTTGATTGTGGAGCAAAGCAAACTAAAACTGTAAACTATCTCAATCTCTTCACCATCCATACTGATGCTGCCAATTGGCCCAGTGGTGAGAATCTTTGTTTTCTTGATGTTGAGCTTCAATCCATATAGAAGGCTGCAGTCCTTGACCTTCTGCATCAAGTGCTTCAGTTCCTCCTCAGTTTCAGCAAGCAGGGTTGTGTCATCTGCATAATGCAGGTTGTTGATGACTCTTCCACCAATCCTGATGACACATTCCTCTTCGTATAGCCCAGTGTCTCGGATGACCTGTTCTGCATACAGACTGAAAAGGTATGGAGACAGAATATATCCCTGACGGACCCCCTTCTTAATTTTGAACCATGTAGTGTTCTCCTTGCTCTGTTCTGATGACTGCCTCTTGGTTCAAGTATAGGTTTCGCATTAGCAAAATCAAATGTTCTGGGATTCCCATTCTTCTCAGAATCAGCCACAGCTTGTGATCCACACAAAAGCCTTTGCATAGTCAATGAAGCACAGATAGACATTCTTCTGGAGGGCACATAACAGCAAACAAAACAACTCTATGGGGTAATTTACTGGGGTAATGAAGTATAATTTGGCTGTTTGCTGAATCTTGATGGTAGTCCTGACAGGCACATAAGAAAAGTTTTTGGGGTCATGGAGCCTTTTCCTAGGGTGGAAGTCTACTCAAAGGTATGGCTTTAAAACCCACAGGGTTTTAAAAGTTTATTAATTTTTGAATTAATATTCCTTAAATGATACAGCAATCTTGTCTATTTGTTGAACTGAACAACTTGGTGTTGCTATGATGCTGCACACTAATGGTTGTCCATTATGTATAGTGTCTGGATGAGCTTCCAGATTTGATTTATGCTGGGAAGCAGGAGTGGCATCCACTTCCTAAACTAGATGCCTCTGGAAAATCTACAAACTCTCTAAACTCTATAAATGTACAGAAATTATGTTAGTTATAGAACAGAGTTCAGGTCTTTTGTGCAAAACTTCCTCTCAGTCGTATTTTACTTGACAATACTTAACCACTGCTAAATGAAACTAGTGATGTTATATCTGGAGGAATAGTCTTCCACTTGATATTGGAAATACCATGTTAAGCAGCAAACAGGACTACTGACCACAAAGAAAATATAGAAAAAGGGGAGAAGGGGGAAAAAAGATCAAGATACTCATTTCCATTCAACAGGACACTAATCCACTAAGAATCCCTCTACTAAAGCTTAATAAATCAGATTCTATCTATAAATCAACTATACAACATAGCTAGTAGCATCGTTACCATTTATAATTTCCTACATAAGACATCAACTTAAAACAAAATCTTTCAAAATATGAAAAATTTTGAAGTATAACAAGAAACAAATTTGAGGTTTTATTCCAGTATGATTTTATCTTTTGTTGTTGTGTACTAGAGAGTCTGAACCGACCCACAGCTGACCCTCTGGCGGGCTATCACAGGCTGTTAATCACATGGGAGGAGACTGCCCATCCTTCTTCCATGGAGCAGCTGGTGGCCTCGAACCTCGTGCCTTCAGGATCACAGCACAGCATCTTGCCACTACGCCATCAGAGCTCATTATTTTATCTAGTGCACATGATATTAAACTTACTTGTTTCTACTTAGCTTGGAGATGTAAGTTTCTCTCAAGTTTTCTTCAGCTGAAGAGAAAAAGCTTCTCAGTTGGGTAGTAGGCATATATGTGTCAACTCTAATATAGCAGACTGAACACTAAACATTAATTACATTAATAGTTTAATGGTTTAGTTCATCATTTGATTGTCCACAAATCTATATAAGCAAACACTTAAAATGTGCCAGGCATTGACCCAAATCCTTAGCTATACATAGCAGAAATGATGCCTACCGTGATGGAGTTGCTAATGGAGAAAAAGCTAAACAAATACACAATTAGAAATTGTGCTAAAAGACCTTGACAAGTATACATCATTTCAGAAAATATATTCCAGTGTGAGGTTGTTTGTGGGAAATTATTTATTATCTAATAAACCTGAACTTGGTTTCCCAGAGATCAAAGTAGTTGAATACCTGGGACAAAAAAGAAACTTGGTGACTGGGTTGCATATCTTGCAAGTTGCAAAGATACCTGAAGAGTTGCTTGACAAAACGCGGCCGTATTCCAGGACCTCCCACGGTCCGAAAATACATCTATGCTAAAAGGGCAAAAGTATTCCTAACCTCCTAATCAAAAACTAGCTTCTTAGAGCTTTGCTTTAGAAGTTTCCAGCTACCACCACACCAAGTATTTATTATGAGAAAAATTTAATTTTTCATCCAAGAGAAACTTTCTAGAAATCAAATACAGCAGTAGACACTTAAGACATTGTTTAGCCCCAGTTTTAACATTAAATTGTTACTGCCATGGATAAATAACCAAAATCCTTCTCTGCTTATTAAAGTGATGTTAATATGTACCATGGAGTCAGAACTGACCCATAATGACCCTCCAACGGGTTTTCAGAAGCAGTTAATCACACATGAAAAAATTGCCCATCTTCCTGCAGAGCAGCTGGTGAATTCAAACTGCATGCCTAAGGGACTGCAGAGGCGACCAGAGTTCCTTTAATTAGAGTAACAATTTACTGAAATTAGCACACAGAGTAGGGTATGCAACTAGCATGTAACAAGGGAAACAGAAGGGAGAAAACATTACCATGCATGCGGTGCTCCAAATATCAGCAGGAGTATTATAGCCAGATCCTATTAGAACTTCCAAGGAGCGGTACTGCCTTGTTTGAATATCTTCAGTAAAATGTTTGTGCTGAGTATATGGAGAAGAAAACATATTAAAATTCATGAATTCTAAAAGGTAACAAGTTATGACTGCTTAATAATCTATACATACTGATAATGTTTTCCTCCCCAAATCAGAGTTTCCATTTAGTTGATCTTACAAATTATTTTGATGCAATTAGTTGTGAAGAGAATTTTGATTTACATAGATAATTCCAAATTATTTTTACAAACAAATGAATTGGAATTTAATGTAGATAAGACAGATTTAAAGAATGTAATAGCTTTTAAAGAAATGGAAAAATAATTTCCCAAACAAAAATTAAGTGACATGCCTAAAATTAAGAAACTATATTTAAACAAATAAATGAAACATTATGTTCAGTTCCGCCTTTCCTTACAATGTGCTCTCTCTGAAACTTCCAATTACAAGAAACTTGTAATCCCTGCCTTCCTTTCTGTTGTTCCCCTCATTCCCTTAAAAAAGTAATGAATATAATCAAGTTCCTTAATCTACACTAATCTACAGAAACATGCATGCTAGGCAACTCACAGAAGAAACTACAAAAAGCTATTTTCTTTAGTAAAAGCAAAAAAAAGAGGACAACTTTTGATTCATCAATTTTATTTGAATCTTGACTTAGTAAAATTTAAAAGTATGTTATGAAACAAGTGGAGGAAAATGATAAAATATTTGAAATTAAAGAACTGTCAACTTTTTTTAGGTACATTAATAATAGTGCAATGTTAGAGAACTGTATTTACTGGTGAAAATAATGGCTGAGATATGTTTCAAAAATCTAAGTGAGTGGCAGGGTACAGAAATATGAAATTAGGTAGGCCATAAGTTAAAAACTGTTTATTCCATTATCTCTGCTTTTACGTAATACAAAATAATTGGACAATAAAGAAAAAGCAACTAAGAATGAGTCATACAAAGAAAAAAATTCAAATACTATTAAAGTATACACAGAGAAAAATGGAAAACTATATTCTAATTCCATTGAAATTTATCAGAGAAAAACTAAAATTTGTAAGATATTTTTGTAGAGGGGAAATTAGAAGGCAGACAAATTAAGGGGGGAAAATACCCACAACAAAATAAAATGACCAGCGGAGGCCACCATGGCGACTAGACTCACAGCCTTCCTCAAGAATGCTTGGGCCAAGGAACCAGTGCTGGTCGTGTCCTTCACCACCGCGGGTCTCGCTGTAATTCTGCCCTCATTAAGCCCTACACCAAGTATGCCTCCATGATCAACGAGATCACCCCCTACAGCTACCCAGTGCCCCTCCAAGATGATGGGAACCTGCCTGATGTGCTCAGCCACCCCCAGGACCCCCAGGGTCCCAGCCTGGAGTGGCTGAAGAAACTGTGAGCACCTTCGAGGATGGCCATCCCCCCACCTAGCCCCCAATAAAAACCTGAAAAAAAGAGGAGGAAAAAAAGGAAATTTAAAAAAAAGAGACCAGAATGACTAAAAGAGGAAAAAAAAATAAAACATTTGAAAAGAAGGATCATGCAAATAAAGGCACACAGAAGTTTGCTAAAGTAAGTAAAATACTTTAGAAGAATGCGGGTTTCACTGGGAGACAACAGAAAAGCGCTGTATGGTACTCCCAAACAAGAGAATGTGTCATAAGGAGACATGACATTTGAGAATATGGGCCAGTAATCGTCTAAATGATTACTGGGGGGGGGAAAGGGAAAGGACAGAAGAACTAGAGTACTTGAATAGGAGATCTAACATCTGTATAAATCAGATTTAGAAATAAAAAAGAGACCAAAATGAAGAATATAAAAGAAACTAAAAAAGTTAAGATCAAAGAATCAGAATAGCCTACACTAAATCCCTAGTGTAGCAGATTTAAGAAGATCCAGTGAGGCAGATCACTGTGAAATTATAAACCCAAGGGATGATAATAATTTTGTGGATTTCCAGAGAGAAGGAAGGAATCAAGAATTAGAACACACAGAGGATCAAGAATCAGAAGAGCACCTGTCTATTGCAGCAACCGAATGGAAATAAAAGACAGTGAGCAATGAATGATAAACCTGAGGGGAAAAAAATTTTCAAACTGGAATTCTATAATGCAGCCAATGAATGTGAAAGTAGACTAAAGACATTATCAGATTTATAAGAGGCTCTAAAAAGATTTTCAATAGTCTTTTTTTAGGATGCTACCTAGAGGACTGTTAGGAATGGACTGCTAGGAAAACAAACAGATTTGTCCTGGAAAGGGTTAAACTGGGTGGCTCCTTGCAGGCAAGGATTCTGAGGCTCCATCTAACTTACTTTGGACATGTTGTGAGGAGAGACTGGTCCTTAGAGAGGGACATCATGCTTGGGAGGGTGGAGGGACAGCGCAGGAGAGGAAGGCCCTCTATGAGGTGGATTGATTCAGTGACTGGGATAATTGGGATGGGAGTGTCGGAGACAGTGCGATTGGCACAGGACAGAGCGGAGTTTAGGGCTGTTGTACATAGGGTCGCTATGAGTCGCAAGCAACTCGACGGCACATAACAACCTAGAGAAGAGTGAGACCAGGCTGCTCCTTAGAGGCAAGAATTCTGAAACTTTGTCTGAAATACTCTGAACAAGTTGCAAGGAGGGACCAGTCCTTGGAGAGGGACATCATGTTTTGTGTTTGCACTACAACTCCTTACCACTGAGCCACCATGGCTCCTTTAAATGATAATACACAGAAAATTAGGCAAATGAAGCATGATCTTATGAAAAATAATAAATCATAATATACTATATGATCAGTTGAGGTGAGGACTGCATTACAAAATTCTAATAATATAAAGACACCACATGGTTTAAAATCAAGAAAGGTGTGTGTAAGGGCTATATTCTTTCTTAAATTGAATAGGACTATATCTATTCAATTTGTATGTTTAGCAAATCATTTGAGAAATTGGACTTCATGAAGAATGTTGCAAGAAGACTGGAGGAGTACAAACTGTAATATACAGATGATTTAACTTTGCTTGCTGAAGGCAAGGAGGGCCTGAAGTGCTTACTGTAGAAGAGCAAGGACTACATACAGCCTTCCACTTGGATTGCATTTCAACATCAAGAATACAAAAAGCCGTACCACTAGCAATAAGCAATGTCACGATAAATGGGGACGAGACTGAAGATGTCAATTTCATCTTACTTAGATCCACAATCTTGGCACCAGAAGTCGGGAGATCAGGTAACGTATTGTTTTGGGAAAGTTGGCTGTCAGAGATCTCTCAAAAATTCTGAAGAGTAATGAAGTAAGTTTAAAGACCAGGTGTGCTTGATTCAAGCCATGGTCTTACCAATTACCTGCTATGCATCTGAGAGCTGGAAAATGAATAAAAATAGCAGAAAAAAATGATCCCTTTGAGTTGTGTTGGAAGGAAATACTGAATTCCCAAAAGAACAAGCAGATATATCTTGGAGAAAGTACAGCCAGAGTGTTCCTTAGAGACAAGAGTAGTGAAGCGTCATCTCACACACTTTAGGGCAAGCTGTTAGCAGGGGCTATTTCTTGGAAAGGGACATATTACAAGGAAAGGTTGAGGGTCAGAGAGAGAGGACAACTCTCAATGAGATGGATCAACACAGTAGTAATGGGTTCAAGCATGTCAGAGATGACAATGATGGCAGAGGACAGGCCAGGGTTCAAATCTGTTGTTCATAGGGTCACTATGAGTCATACTTGACTTAACAGCACCTAATAGCCAACTGCAACAATACTATTAAAGTAAAATGAACATTAAATTCAGATCACAATAAAATTGGAAAGGTAGAGATATGGGTACAGTGCTGGTATGTAAGTCTTACTTTCCAAAAGGAAGAAATACTACCTAAAGGTGAACGGAAAACATTAGTAACAAGAGAAATATCTGATCTGTTAATGATAAGAAGTTATACTGTTACAGAAGGGGATGGAATTTTAAATGAAAATCTAACTCTGTCTCTAGAGCATATACATATATCACAGAAAAAAAATACATTCAGTTTGAAAAAAGGAAAAAGAAAAGGTAAAATAAAATTCCACACTATATGAAAATCACTGTGTTTAAAAAAAAAATTAAAAAATCATCCATTCTATTGCTGAACATTACATTCTGTTGTGCAAGAGAAGTAAAAAAAGACTTGAGATCCAAGCCAGACCTGACAGGCAGGGAGGGCATGCATGTCTTGTTGATCCATGTCTCAGAGTATGGGCCACCGTATTTATTAAAGAAGTGAATGGATGAAAAGAATCTGAAGTCTTTAGCAGAAAGAGACTTCTTTGTTTTTTAAAAAGATATACATATAGCACTAGAAGAGAGTAATTCTGTTGTGGTACTAGTAACAGAAAAGATTTCACCAAAATAAAGAAAATTGCTCCAAATGTTATATGTAGAAGGCATGAAAGAAGGTGTTCCAGGTACAGAAGCATGAAATATTAAGTGGACCAAACAGGTGAAGAGCTAATCTGTTTCTCTAAAATGTATTTACCTAAATATATTTTGAGTTCTTGGTACATAGCAGTATTGTGAATATATATGGCCATTAAAAATGTTCACAAGAATATAGAAATAGCTCAGATGTTCAACCACAAATGAATGGACTGAGAAATTATGGTACGTCCACACAATGGAATACTATGCAGCACACAGAAGCAATGACTTCATAAATTACTACCTAACATGGGAGGGACTAGATTGTGGGTACTCAAGACTGTGGGGTAATGAGACTGTTGTCATTTGATAATGTATTTCAAGTTTCCCATAATAAAAAGTTAAAAGGAAAATGGTAAGGGGAGGGACAGTATTTACTGAATTTTTAAGTGACAGTGTGAGTACAGAATTGCTGCTATTTTCTCACATCAACCTAAGTAAGTTTTTATTCATTCTAGATCACTTCAAGCATGGAGATAAGTGTAACTTACCACCCAACAGGCATTTCCAAGATCAGCAATCTTCACTTGGAGCTTTTCTGCATTTTTTGGCTCAAGAGGATTAACAAGAAAATTCCCAGCAGTAGATTTCCCTACAGACAATAGGTATCATCATTGAGACTACCAATAGAGTCTTGAAAATGGAAAGGTTAATAAAAACACACCCAGGCACCCAGTGAGCAACCTGCAATACATTTTCTTACACAAAAATGGCATGAAGATTATGTCAACTCAAAGTGCCCTGACCGATCAGCTTCCTCCTTGTATCCTGTGAAACACCAAAGAGCTCCTGAACTGCTAGGGGAAATAAGAGAGTACAGCTGTCCTGACAGCACCAAGTGCAGTACACACCAGTAAGTGGTCAATAAAATCCAAAGTGACCACATATTTACACATTCACCTGACGCAAAATTTATTTACAAAAACAAACGCACTTCTAGTCTAGATACTCGGTAGTACATTGCTCAAGGAAGGAGTGCTGGGAAAGTATGTCTACAGAGGTACCTTTGTTGTCCAGTGGTCCATTATGTTCTTGTTCTTGCTCATTTTCACAAGGTATCTCTGCTCGAATGCTTTCCTGAAGTTGGCTGATGTCCCGGTCTACATTGGAGGAAGGCTGGCACATCATGGTATCTGACGGCTCCAAGGCTACAGGTGTACAAGTGTCTATTTCTTGAGAGGTGTTGTTATCTCCATTTTGTGAGCTGAGGATACTAGGTTCCTGCTTCAAATTTTGGATGATAGAGTCATTAGCATTATGGAGATCCTCCTTAAGCCTCAATGTGCCTTTATTACTGTTCTCAGCATATTTAACAGTTTCAAGGACTCCATTGCAATTAATTTCTGCTGCACCACCCTCTACAACATGTTCCACAAGTGTTTGATCCTGGACAATGGTGCTTGCCTCTTCTAAGGAACAAACAAACAAAAACCATGTATGTGTACGCATGCGAGAGAAAGAACAGAAAAAAATCTCTTGACAGGATTAAAATATTTTCTAGAATGACATAAAAGCCATGACTGAGTGTCTAAAACCTACTTAAGGAAGGACAAAGATCTTCCTAACATTATACAAATGCTAAATTAAATCTATGTCCCATTTCTAGAGAAACGTTAGAAATCACATTTCAATATTACCTGCCTAACATTTATCACAAGTTCTGTATGCTTACAGTATGAGGACACCCCCAGAGATGTGCTGAATGTATGAAACCATTATATTATATAACAATGATATATAATGTTAAAGTTTGTCATAAAGTAAGTTTTGTGATGCTCTATTTATACCAAGTTTTTCTTGGGTCATTTTATTAGGTGGGTTCTCTTTCAAGGGTTTTTCAACAGGACTCTCTGATTCTTCTTGCTTGTTTGGTCTTTTTTGCCCAGGGCCCGACTCTTTCTCCATTTCCTCAATTTCCTGCATTCGCTTCTCTAGTAATTCTGCCTGGCGCTTCTGCTTCTTCTTCAATTTCTTCTTCTTATTCTTTGACATTTTGTCAGCCTGGGCGGAGATTACAAACAGATAAAGCCTTCAGGTGGCTAATCCATTACTCCCTGTTGGAGATAACTGTTAACTTTAATTACTTCCTAATTAAATTTCACTCTTTCCCTAACAAAAACATTTATGTTTTCCGTTAAAAAAAAAAAAATGAGGCTACCCTTATAAAATTAAAATTAACAACAAATCTTGGGTCTTCTGAGCAGCTTTGCAGAGGGCTAGTGTACTCTTAAATCACACTAAAACTTAGAGAAGCTTCATCTCTACAAAATCACTTAAAGATTCATGAGAATTTATTGGGAAAAGTTACAGAAGCGCAGGAATATATTTTCTTTCACTTCCGAACTCTTAACAAACTCAACAACTAAGACAGAAGAACCCACACCACCCATAAATCAGAATTAAATATAGAAACACCCTATACTTACTGGTTTAGGCTGGGGAGCAGTACTGACTAGAAAAAAGAAAAGGGAAAAAAAAAAAGTAAGAATTCTAATACACAATAGGCAATATAAATCAAGATTCAGGCAAGATTTCCTACCAGAATGAAAAGTTTCACGCTTGCAGAATTTGCAGATAACACCGTAATTTTTTAAAACTACTTTAGCACATAGTTTGCTTCGTCTGACATACTTTGGACATGTTGTAAGGAGGGAGAGGTCCTTGGAGGGGGGCATCATGCTTGGGATGGTGGAGGGACAGCGCAGAAGGGGAAGGCCCTCTATGAGGTGGACTGATTCAGTGACTGGGATAATCGGGATGGGTGTGCCAGAGGCAGTGGGACTGGCACAGGACAGAGCAGAGTTTAGGGCTGTTGTACATAGGGTCGCTATGAGTCGCAAGTGACTCGATGGCACATAACAACAACAACAACACTTTAGCATAGTCCTGGTGGCTTAACAGATTTTGGGATGGCTTGCTCACCAACAAGCTGGTGATCTGAATCCACTAGCCTCGGCATCTCACCAAGATAGATTTTGTTTCAGAAACCAAAAGGGTTGAAAACACTGGATTTCAGAAAAACAATGGGCCTATAAGTAGTAATTCTGCTTTTGGTTTAGAAGGTAGACTACCATTTTGAAAAATAAAAGCACTGACAATTTCAAATGCAAGTAAAATAATTCTCATGCATTTAACATCAATAGATTCAAAGAGCTATGTCTCTATTTCTAGTTTTCATTATGAATGCCATAAAAATAACTTCTCTAGTTCCAATTATGCTTAAAGTAGAGAAATTGCTAGTTTTAACAAGGGCATCAATCTTCAGTCTTTCTCTCTAAAGGAAGTCAGTGATAAGTGAAAATTTAACTTAAGTATCAAGGAAGTTTGTTGAATACAATTAAACAACCATTACTGCAAAAGGAAAAACTGTTATCCTTATGTGATTATTAATCATAAATTGCTTATTTAAACACATAGCACTTTGTGTTAACACGAAAAACTAAATCCCAATAAAGTGCATGAAATAAAATGAGTAAAATACAGTCACGGTCATCTATGCAATGGTGAAGTCAGGATTCAAACCAGTTTGTCCAATTCCAATACTAAACGCAAGTTCTTAATACCATGTGATCTTGTCTCTCCACAGATCTCTGATCTATAGAAAGTATGTGTTATTATGTTAAGATATAGAACATCAAAATGACCATCAAAATGAGAAAGACATTTCAAAGCAACAACATAAAGCAGTTCTTGTGATACTGAATGTACATGTCTCGAAAAGATATAATCTCTAGTTTTTTCTTCATATGATAATATCGAGATAAGTTTCTTCTAAGCTAATACTATTTCTTACACATATGTGCTTCCTACATTTTGTTATTAAATGAATGAATATATTTTATTTAACTGCCTGGCAATAGGACAAAAAAAAAAAAGAGAGGCATTTATAATAAAGAATAGAATTTCTCTTTCATTTCTTCTAATAAAAACAGTCATCAAAGAAAACACACCTGCCGATCCAGAAGGCGGAGGAGCCCCTGATCGTTGCCATTCTGTTGCTTCTGCAGCCAGCCTCCGAATGTACTGCTCATTGACTGACAACAAGATGTTTTCTGGTTTAATGTCAGTGTGGATGATACGGCACTTAGTGTGTAAATAATCCAGACCCTGCAATACCTAAATGGCAAAACAGCAGTAAAGTGTTGTAGACAACACAGGATCTAAGTCTTTCTGGAGAGGAAAGAAGTCATAGCATATTAAGAAACAAAACTCCTATGACTAGAAATAAAGTCTTTTAAAATCTTTTTTTTCCCATGTTTTTTTCCAAATCTAATTCTTATAGAAATATTAACTAAGCGCAGTATAAAAACTGAAGTAAATGTTCAGTATGCCCTTTAGCACTGAAATATAGCTGATGACAGAGACTTACATTTCTCACACTCCTGCTTTTCAGATAAGATTCCTCTACCAAAAAACATTAACTTAAACAAGTCATTTGCCCTCTGAAATATTTCATTTTCTATTGGTAAAGTCTGATAGAATACTACATATAAACTAGAAAATGTCCATGACGTATCAAATTCAAACTCACTGCCACTGAGCCTAAATCAAACCCAGTAGGTTTTCAGAAGACTGCCTATCATTTTGCCCTGACATTACCGATAGATTCAAACAGTCAGACAGGTACTATCTCCAGGATACTAATACAATTCCTTAGAAACTACCAGAGTTCCCCTGTTATATAAAGCGATAATGTTTTGTTCTAGCAAGTCTATAGGTTAATATATGATTGTGTGCTAGCAGAATTTATGGATAATTTTCTTATATCTGGTACTTCATACAATTTCACTCATAATTATGATAAGAAGTAAACTTGGGCAGAAAATGGCTGTGCTAAATATTTTAATACAGAACAAAATGCAAACATTAGGGACTAAATAGGAATGAAAAGTTTAGGAAATTAAAAAACAAAAACTAACTGGAAATATAAAACTTGTGATTCTTCAAGATTATGGAAAAATCATACTGTAAAGAGTAAGATACATACTTGCTGAATAATTTTTTTGACACAAGGCAGTGGAAGCCCCTGATAATTTGACTTGATAATCCATTTGAGCAGATGATGGCCCAAAACTTCAAACACCATGCAGATATCTAGAGATTTGTTAAGAAAAAGGAACGTGCAAAAAAACGAAGGGCAAATGGACAAGACAAGGTTACATTCTATGCCAAGATTAAGTAAGTTACTGAAGAAAAAAAAAAGGCGAGAGAGGGGAGTGATTTACTGAAAAAATTATATACATCAAAACAGTGCTAAGAGGAAAGATATCACTGCAATTCACAAAACCACAAAGGCTAAACTGTTAAATCAGAAAAGAATTTTTTCTTGACTTCTAAACTAACATTCAGGCCATGGTTTTTGCAATCACTTGTTATGCATCAGAGAGTTGGACAATGACCAAGGAGGATAGAAGGAGAATTGATGCCTTTGAGCTGTGGTGCTGGAGAAGAGTATTGAGAATACCATGGACTGCTAGGAAAACAAACAGATTTGTCCTGGAAAGGGTTAAACCGGGTGGTGGCTCCTTGGAGGCAAGGATTCTGAGGCTCCATCTAACTTACTTTGGACATGTTGTGAGGAGAGACCGGTCCTTAGAGAGGGACATCATGCTTGGGAGGGTGGAGGGACAGCGCAGGAGAGGAAGGCCCTCTATGAGATGGATTGATTCAGTGACTGGGATAATTGGGATGGGAGTGTCAGAGACAGTGCGATTGGCACAGGACAGAGCGGAGTTTAGGGCTGTTGTACATAGGGTCGCTATGAGTCGCAGGCGACTCGACGGCACATAACAACAACAACACTGAATTAGTCTCAAAGCAAAGAGAAACAATTTTGTCAAAACTGAAGAGGACAATGTGCCAAATCTTAACCTAAAATCCACTAAAGTCAACATCTTTTCAAAACAGAAAACTGACTCACTTTATATGCTTTGCCATTCAGTCGATTCTGACCAAGGGCACCTCGTGTGTCAGATAAAACTGTGCTCCATAGCTTTTAAAAAAAAAAATTCCTGAGCCCAGCTCAGGAAATCAGCGTTCAACCCTAAAGCAGGCATTGTTGTTACATAGGATTTTCAGAGGCATTAAATAGCTCAGGAGGAGACTACCCATCTTTCTCTCTCTGAGCAGATGGTGGATTTAAACCCTATGCCTTAGGGTTAGCAGTGCAGGTCCTCACCACTAAGTCACCAAAGCTCCTTGTTCCATACCTTTTAATGGCTGATTTTCAGAAGTAGAAAAATGAATCTTTATTCTAGTGCCACCATGTGTTCTATTCATGTATGAACTTCTCCGTTACATCACATAATACAAGTAATTAATTGAGTCCACCCATGTGAAGGGTATTGCAGCGAGTTTATCAGGCAAAGGTTGGTGTAGTGCACCCTAGAGACTTCTACACCAACTTGAAAGTCAAGATATACAAATATAGTAATCATCTATTGTTATTGTCCAGACTTTTATTTCAAATAAAATCACCAGGAAAAACCTGAGCTTTTGGGAAAAGTGCCCACTCCGGGGCTATTATGAACTTGAACTCCTTGAAAACATGTCAACGGGAAACAGAAACCAGTTTGAAGAGGATGTCACTGGCCCAGCTTGAGAGCATTTCAACCTCAAAATAGTGAAAGGTGTATGAATTAAAATAAGAGAGAAGATGAGTCCATATTGATATTAAAAAGTGGGAGAGATAAGGGAAATGTTAACTTTCAGAGGAAAGTCTAATAACAAGTACACAAAGCGTGACAACAGAAAAAGGACCATATTATAATCACCATGGTAATAAATAAATTATTCCGGTAAGAATCAGTACATACTTAAAAAATTATTTTGTGAAAAAACTATTTGGGAAAAGGGCCACTTGGTTTCAGACTAGTACCACATGAATTATTATTTATACAAAAAGAAAAGGCATTTTTATAAGAGAGATATCTGGAAGACAATGCATTAACAAAGAGATCAAATTTACTGCCATCATGGTGGAATAAATTCACATGATAACCTTTGATATAATGAGAAGAATAAAACATGGCATCCACGTGGTATTAAAACAAATCAACCTATTAGGAGACTGCTGACTGTTACGCCGCCAGTGTGCTCCAGGGAACCACTGATTTTCCTAGTTGCTTTCTTCCAGGCTCTGCCCAGTGGACAGGATGGCCCATGGATATCAGAGAACTTGCCCGTCAGAAAAACATCAAGAAAACCCAGGAGATTAGCAAGGGAAAAAGAAAAGGGGACAGCCTGACTCCCTCTCAAAGCAGAGATATTCTGAGATCATGCAATAAATGCAGAAGGCGGCTAGTGAGAAATCTTCACAGGCAAGAGAAAAATGACTGGCTAATATGGAAAACCTGGGTGCTACAGCCAACTAGGTGTATCATACATGCTAAAATCAAGATTTTATAAACAGTCATTACATATGTTATCATTTATCCTTACAGAACAGTCTATTTTAAACTTTACCTTTTGACCTGATTTTAGTGTGAGGTTTTAGAACTCCTCTTTGAAAAATAAAACCACCACCATGCATGGAAAAAAAAAAACAAAACACCAAACCAAAAGCAAAACAAACCAAGCTACTCTTAGCAACTCAAATCCAACCTAAACCTGATTTTTTTTTTAAATTTTTATTATTTTTGTGTGAGTGTACCATCAAATCAGATCTGACTGGTACAGGAGGAGATTGTCCCTCCTTCCCCAGCAGAGCATCTGGTGGATTCGAACCGTGCGTCTCTGGGATTGTAGTTGCAGCTCCTTGCCACTAGGCCACCAGAGCTCCCCCTAAACCTGAATTTAATCATAAGGAAATAAAGCCAAATTAGGAACAAGGCAACGTATTCATTCTCTTGAACAAATACAAAGTTAATGTTATGAACTGTTCCAAATTACAAATTGAAGGGTCAGACTACCTCATGGAAATGGCCCCTACAGAACATCATGCTCAGAAAAGCAAATTATCAGTGAAAAAGAGAACAATCTTATCCAGAGTCGGATACACAGAGTGGCTGAAACAATGGTATCAAACAAACATAGCAACTACTGTGAGGATAGTGTAGGACAGACAACACACTTCATGAGGCTGAACTCAGGGTCACTATGAGTGGGACTTACCGGACAGCACTCACCAATACAACAAGCAGCACTGGTACATACTTTTATCAAAATTCAAACCACCGATGAAGGTTAAGAGTTTCTTCACAAACGTATTTCTGCTAATGAAGACTATCCTGGCTATGTAACTTGTGATGAGTTCATGTAATCATCAATCAATAATTACCCATAAAAGGCTATAAAATTGCAAACTCCTGCCTATGGGAAATGATAAACAAAGAATCTGGCTTCTTTAAATAAACTGCATGAAGAAATACTTAAGAGATAATGCCACTTGCAATGTATAGACTTTATGTTGATCTGGAATTAAATAATAAACAAATGAAATGGAAAACAAAAATCATACAGCCTTTGGAGAGATCTTGTCTTTCAGAGATACTTTATAAATATAACATAAGGTAAAATTTGGCACAAGATTACCAGGAGGAATAGACAACCAAACCAAAATTGGTTAGGAATCTGAACCTCTTGAAATAAGTGCTTTTGCATGGTATGTTTTTAAAAAATACCAACTGATTAAATTTTTTAAAAAAAAAAGGATTCCCTCCCTTAGGTATTCTCGTATATCTTCACTTCAAATTTTAACTTTTGAGAGGAACATTACATTTGACAACTTTAACCCTCCTTGCTGAAACTGAGGAGGACCTGAAGCGCTTGCTGCAGAGTGTCATGGACTGTAGCCTCCAATATGGACTGAGGCTCAATGTCAAGACGACAAAGATTCTCACCACTGGGCCAATTGGCAGCATTAGGATGGATGGTGAAGAGATTGAGATTGTTCACAGCTTTCATTTGCTTGGCTCCACAGTCAACACTCTTGGCACCAGTAGCCAGGAAATTAAAAGACATATTGCCATGGGAAAGTCTGCTATTAGGGACCTCTCCAAAGTACTGAAAGGCAATGGTGTCTCTCTGGAGACTAAGGTGTGTCTGATACAGGCAATCACTTGTTATGCATCAGAGAGTTGGACAATGACTAGAAAGGATAGAAGGAGAATTGATGCCTTTGAGCTGTGGTGCTGGAGACGAGTATTGAGAGTACCATGGACTGCTAGGAAAACAAACAGATTCATCCTGGAAAGGGTTAAACTGGGTGGCTCCTTGGAGGCAAGGATTCTGAGGCTCTGTCTAACATACTCTGGGCATGTTGTAAGGAGGGACTGGTCCTTGGAGAGGGACATCATGCTTGGTAGGGTGGAGGGACAGCACAGCAGGGGAAGGCCCTCTATGACGTGGACTGATTCAGCGACTGGGGTAATGAGGATGGGTGTATCGGAGACGGTGCGATTGGCACAGGACAGAGCAGAGTTTAGGGCGGTTATACATACATAGGGTCGCTATGGGTCGCAAGCGACACGACAGCTTATAACAACAATTCTGTATTAAATTATATGCAGTGACATAAAATTCCTGAGATAATAAAAAGAGTGAAAATACTGAGTAAGAAGTATACTTAGGATGTATTTATAAATAAAAATTACTATAGAGACAAAATATGTATGAGAAACAACCCTAAAAGCAGGCCCTATTGTTGTGTGCCACTGAGTCAACGTTCTGTATGGAACAAACTCATAGCTGACCCTCTAGTGGATTTTCAGAGGCAATAAATCGCACGGGAAGAGAATGCTGATCCTCCGTGGAGTAGCTAGTGCATTTGAACTGCAAGTCTTTGGAAGTGCAGCACAGTTTCTTACCACTAGGCCATCAGGGCTGATTTATAAAAATATAAGCATTGAGGTGTCAATAAAACGACACTGAACAGATAATGGGAGTATAACATACGGTCCAGTTGTCCCCTAACTATTTTTCATACCTGCTATAGAAGTAGAATAAAACCAGTTTTTATATATATATAATCTACTGCAGCTATCTTTTTAGTATTTGGACCTTTATATTTCAATATAAGAAAAGACAAAGACAAGAGATGAGAAAAAGCAAGATGCCAAGAGACAAAGAAAAACAAAAATGTGAGAAGGAAGAATTCTAGAACCCATTAACCTTTAATACAACATCCCAAATTACATCCCAGTAGGAACATATGATGCCAAGAAAGCTGGAAGAAGTAGAAAAAAGGGTGGAGAAAAACCCTAAAGGCAAATGGAGGACAGAAATTCTGCACAATGACAAACATCACAGGACAAAATTAGGAAAATAGTTATTATGACTTCTGACATAGATACATTCTCCCTACCCTTCATACACACATACTTTCAGAGTAAGCTATCTCCAAAATGACCACAGTACACATAAGACAGCTTTAAAAATGAGGTGGTTGAGCCTTACAAATATTTCTCTTAGAAATCCAGGTATCTGTGATCTATATTGTTAGGTATCAGAGAGTTGAGAATGACTCACAGTGACCCTATGAACAACAGATCTAAACCCTGTCCTATCCTGTGGGATCTTCATCATCTCTGACAAACTCGAACCCACTGCTGCAGTCATTTCATTGAGGATGCTCCTCTCTTTTGCAGATGCTGCATCTTTTCAAATATGATGTATCTTCCCAAAGAATAGCCTCTCCTCGCATCATGTCCAAAGTATGAGAGACAGGACTTTACCATCTTTGCCTCCAAGGAGCACTCGGGTTGCACTTTTTTCAAGACATACCTGTTTGTTCTTTTGGTAGTCCACTGGATACTCGGTACTTTTATCCAACACCACAGTGCAAATGCAACAGTTCTTCTGTCATCCTTATTCGCCGTCTCTCCAATTCACAGCAGGTGTAAAGGGAGTACAGCTTGAATCGGGAGCATCTTAGCCTTCCAGGTGACATCAGTGCTCTGAAGTATTTTAGAGAGGTCCATGCCATGACAGTATACTTGCCTAATGCAAGATAGCTCCTTGCTGTTCCAAGGAAGATGAAATCAATGACAGCTTCAATCCTTTCTCTATCTATCATAATGTTGTCTATTGGTCCCATGGTAAGAACTTTTGTTTTCTTGATGTGGAGATGCAATCCATACCAAAGGCTGTAATTCTTGATCTTCTGCAGTGTTTCAAGTCCTCCTCACTTTCAGCAAGCAAGGCTGAGCCATTTGCATAATGCAGGTTACTGATGAGTCCTCCTCAGAACCTGATGCCACATTCCATTTCTATGATCTATATCCTAAGTAAATGACACACAACTAACTTCAAATGATAAAGAAGTTCACATTATCATCGGCTCCCCTTCCTTTTCCATCTCCTCTTTAGCTCTCTTTGTTAAAACCCCTTTGTATAAAGTGCAGAAATGGTAAAATGACAAGTTTTTCCAAATAATTAATGAAAAGATTATCTGCACTCTTCATACCAAAAATTCTATCTTTTACTCTGGAAAAACCTGACAGACCTTTATAAACATGGTTATGTCCTTTTAATTAGGATACAACTTTGACAGTAACTTGTGAAAACAAATCATTTAAGATTTATTTTAGCTTTCTAAAATGTTGGATAAAAACATAAAACAAGTCATTGTCTCCATTATGACACAACATAAATATACTTGTTTTAGATTAAGCATTATCTAGATGCATGGTCTCTTCAAAGTTAAAGTTCTAGTGAAAAACAAACCAAATCATGCTTTATTAGTATTTACCATGAAAAAGTATTTTGTTAGCTGAGAAAGGTAACAGAATCTTTACTTAGTAATAAAAGATATTTTCTAAAAATAAGTTCAGTTTCGTTTGCCTTAAAAGAGGAAAATGCCTTAAGCAACACTGAAAAATCATACCACATGATAAAATTCACATCTATGTTTTCAGAAGTTTACAAAAATAGGTAATTTTACTATTGTTTGCCTTGAGAAAAAGAGACCAATGCTATTTGCACAATGTGGTTCCTGTCTTTGGGACAAAGCTATTTCATGACTGAATCTCAAACATGTTCTTAAAAGGATACGAGTTCCATTAACTCCTGATATTTTGAAGTCATCTAGAAGTTGAACAACCATTTCTCTATTTGGGTCATTGGGATCTGAATTTCGAACCTGGAGTAGAGAAAAGACAGTATTTAGCAAAAACAAAAGCATAGAATTAAGTCAAATGGTAAGGGAGGGAATTTAGCCAAAGGTACTATCTGCAGCAAATAAAACAAATGGTTAATAACTTTAAAAATTTAAAAAATGTCTCCCACAAGGAAACAAACTAAAATGTCAATAGTCCAACAGGCAAACAATCTAAATATTCTTTCACAAGAAATTAACAAAGAATATTTTTCTAATTCTATCGATTTGCTGCTCAAAGTGCAACCCAAAGACTGACAACTATTGGTTTACACACCATGAAGAGTGAAGGAGTTTTTCAAGAATGCAAATCAACTGTTGCAACAGTGCTTTCTTTTATTTAGCTAAAACTTGTTTTTCCCAAAGAAAAAGTTCCTCAGTAAACAAAGTATTATGTTGATTTACTTTTTGGCAAAGTTACCTATCTGACATTTTGAAAAGCATTTCCTTAAAATTCCTCTGACGTAAGTAACATCATTCTACAAATGAAAAATCTAAGGATCAGAAGAAATTAATGTTATACCAGTATAAAGCTGGGCTTAAAAGCCAGAATGAAATGAGTTCAGAGAAACCTCATCACACCAGTTCCATATTACCAAATAAGCAGATACTGTTGTTGTCTTCTACCCTCTTTTTAAAGGTATTGAGAACTTTATGGTCAAAATTACCTATACTGGAAGAGTTTACTACATGGTATTTATGTTAAATCAATAAAATTTGAATCAAAATGCTCTGCAGTTCAAAAATATGATCCAATACTCACTGATTTCAGCAACCGAATCTCATCTAGTGCGGTTTCAGTATAATGTTCAGCGCTTTTAACTACTTTCATTGCCACAAACTTCTTTCCCCTATGAAACAAACACAGGTAATTAGGAGTAAGTGACCCACTATTACTGTTGTTGTTGTTATGAGCCATCAAGTCAGAGCTGACCCCTCCAGTAGTTTTCAGAGGCAAAATATGACCATCCTTCTCCTGCAGAGCAGCTTGTGGATTCAAAGAACTAAATGCCAAAGCAGCACAGTTCCTTACCATGAAGCCACCAGAGCTCCAGACTGAGATAAATGGTAATGCTTACTTTAGGAAGCCAATATTTATCTCCGAATGGCTGAAGACACTCATGTTAATACAAGTTTTCCTTCTCACTCTCTTGCCACTGGCAATGGAATCTGAATGAAGTAGTACAAATACTGATGATTTTGTTATTTCTCTGTACATGAATAGTCAAGTTACCCACAAAAAAGTACTAAGAAGACTGACTTTACATTGAAAAAAACTATAATGTCACCCAAACTTCCCATAAGTAAAAATCTTCTTAAAGTCTGAATCCCAAGTAACACCATCAAAAGGAGATAAGGGGAAAAAAATAGGAATCATAAATACACTGCATAGTAAACTATCATTTAAGAAGACAGAAAAAATATTTAGATAAAAACAATGACAAGAATCATAAAAATGAGATGACAGAAAGCATTATAAGGAGCATAATAACATAAAAGGCCTAAATTACTCTCACAAGAGCAAATTATACACTTGTAGATAAACAAATGTTGTGTGAAGAGGTATTTTTTATTGTCTCTGAATTTTATTAAAAATGTAGAGAAAAACAAACCTTTCTGAAAATGAGAGAACAAACAATTTCACCAAGCTTGTGTAGGACTTACTCTCCAGGAGAGAAAGATGGGCAATCTCCTATGGTAAAAGACTAGCTACCTAAGAAACCTGATAAAGGCTGACATCACTGTGAATCAACTAAGTAACAGTGAGTTTGGTTTCAGGTTACTGGTATCAATCATCTTCCTATCTCTAAAGATAGGGGTAAATGTTACTGATACTTCAGAGAGAAAAGGGATTTGCTCAAGAGCATAAAGATTATTACCAAGAATATGTCAGTCTAAAATAAACAAACTGTAGCCCAAATCATCTTAAAACCTCAGATATTACCTAAACAAATCTCCTGAAGAACTAACTAAAACTTACTGAATATCCCATGACAACCACACTGTTGAAAAGTGTCCCCAACCCAGTTTTCGGATCACGTGGTATCTTCCATTAAATAAGTCTCCAATTTTCACAAGATGATACCCTCCTAGAAGAAACAACGGGAAAGAAAATACAGCTTTAATGAGAGAAATAGGATAAGAAATTATTATTATTATTTGCCTAAGAAAGATGGGCACTCTCCTCCCGTGGGATACACTATCTCTGAAAATCTGCTGGAGGGTCGGCTGTGAGTAGGTTCTGGCTTGCAGCATAACACCACCACCACCACCACCACATCTTTTATCAACTAAGCATTGTTTCTCCTATATAAACAATTAACAACCAAATCAGCCAGCATATTACTGAGCTCATTAAGGAAAAAGAAAAATCTAAGCAAGCCTACTTACACTGAGTCAATGATGTTGTATAAAGCAGCTACCTACTTTCAGAAGCCACCAACTTCAAAGATTATTTATCAAAATACCCTTGTCCCTCAATAATTTAACAGATTTATCTAAACACAAATCTACTTATATCTACACACTACTGCAGTCTTGAGACTTTTTTTTTCTTAGAGAGATTAACAAATCTTATTTATTAGTTAAAAAAAGATAAAATAATATAAGGGGTTTTCTTCTCCCAAAGTCCTTAAAAGGCTAGCAGGATTTCTTTGGGATAAAGGTATCAGTCTTTGATAACAATTGAAAAAATACCATATTCTTCTCAAGATGATACAGAAGTACATTTTATTTTAAAACATCCAAACATCCTGGAAAATCTCATAAGCAGAAAAGATAGCCAGCATAAATATCTGTAACTCTAGTTTTCAACTGATTCTTCAAGAAAAAATTAGAATTTAAAAAAAAAATCTACACATCTTCAAGAAGATGCACCGCGGTTCAAATCCACCAGATGCTCTGCTGAAGAAGGAGGGACAATCTCCTCCTGTACCAGTCAGATCCAATTTGATGGTACATGCACATAATAATAATAATAATTATTATTATTATTATAAAAATAATCTACACATCTCAAAACAACTATGAGATATCATCTCACCCCAGTAAAAAGAACAAAATTTAACAGAACAGCACTAAACAACAAATGCTGGTGAGGTGGTGGAGAAAATGGAACCCTTATTCACTGTTGGTTTGAGAGTAAAATGGTGCAGCCACTATGGAAGGCAATACAGCGCTTTCTCAAAAAGTTGGAAACAGAAATACCATTTGAGCCAGCAATCCCACTACTGGGAATATACCCTAAAGAAATCAGAACTGCCACCCAAGTAGGTATATACACACCCACCTTTATTGCTGCTTTGATCACAATAGCAAAGAGCTGGAAACAACCCAAGTGCCCATCAACAAACAGATAGAGAAGCTGTAGTATATTTAAACAATGGAATACTATGCTGCACTGAAAAACAAGGAACTTATGAAATATTATACAAAATAGGTGACCTGGAGGACATTAAACTGAGTGAAATATCTGTCACAAAAGGACAAATACTGCATAGTGCCACTGTTGTAAAGCAGGACTGACATTAGGGTTGGGGGAAACTAAGTGGGGATAAATAATGTACACTGCATTGAAACAGATGAGGGAGAGAACTGTTTAAAAGTAATATATGATTAGGTATTACTGTCATGACAAGAGTCCAGAATGAAAGCTGAATAGTGGAGTGGATTTGTTGGGGGTGATTGTTTAAAAATGAAAGAATTTTTTTTTTTTACTTTTCAAAGAGAAAAGTGAACTGGAGGGAGGGGTGGTCAGGGAAGAAAGTGTATAACAATGAAAGAATGGAAATCCAAAGTCTCTCTAAACTGTCATTAAAATAAAAAAAAAACAAACATTAAAAAATAAATCTACACATCAAACTATTACAATGCCTGCTTAAGGTTGACTGCATTAGAAGTAACTTTTATTTTCTTCTAAGCTTAATCTCTTTCTGAAAATGTCTTAAAGAAGTATCATTTTCAGACTAATAAAAAGTTTAAAAAAACCTAATAAAAAACTAGGTATTAATAAATTCAGTTCGACTAAGGGTGAATAAAGCCTTGAAGGTCCAATGTCAAAGTACCCCGCTAACTGGAAAGCCAGCAATTGAACCCGTAAGTCACTCTGTACGAGAAAGATGTGGCTGCTTGCTTAATTCAACAATTTTCAGCCTTGGAAATCTTATGGGTCAGTTCTACCCTATTTAATATCAACCCAAGTTAATATCAACAACAGCAGAAGAAATTTTTGTTTTATTTTCATTTTTAAAGAGCTAATACTATTTTATACAGTGGGTTACTAGTTGATAAATTGGTATTTGAGAACCACCAACTACAAATGGTCTCTTCCTGAAAAGATTTATAACACCAGACACTTGATGAAGGGTCAGAGGGCTGCCCTGAGTCATAATTAATAGTAGTGGGCATGGTTTTAGAAAGAAGACCCAAACTGTGTTTATAATAAACTAAACATCCAAATGAGAAATTACAACTGCATGAATATGTCTTAGCTGGGATTGTTTTCCTTACCTTTACAATAATCGTTAGGATCTTCTTGCTCATCGTCATCAGACCCCAGGATCTCCTCTTCCTGTTCTGGTAGATCACTCTCAGAATGAGGGACAGAGCCTCGGTGCTGAGTTTCAGATCTAAGAAATGATGTAAAAATGTTCATTTCATATGAAGAGGAGAAAACAAAACTTTAAGAAATTTCATGAATTAGTTTATCTTCCTATCTCTAGGTCATATAGACAAAATACTACCAAATGGCAATCTAGGAAAACAGTATCACCTATAGCTTTACCTCATATTAGGAAAGGACTGCTCTGTAAAGAAAATCAATACATAGGATAATCAAATTATGTTTGGGAAATATATTAAAAATATAAAAGGGGAAAAAGCCACAGTGACTGTCAGTATTAATCCCTGATAAAATCTGGATACTTTCCAGCATTTTGTCTTATTTTTATCAAAACATATTCCATATTTTAAAAAAAAAATTGTATCTTGATTATCCTAGCAGGTCATAAACTATTCTCCCACATTCCTGTGCAAATTCTTAAATCTTACACGTTTCCCTTAGAACTATTCTTACTATTAGTACATTCCACAGTTGGATACCAAATTTGTTTGTAATTTTTCATTTCTAAAAAGAAAATTTTACATATTTTTATATACTAGTATTTAGATTTCTCTATTATAGAAATATTTTCTTTCATGAAAAGAACACGGTAAGTGTAGAAAATTTGGAAAAACAACAAAAACCATTTGAAAACAAATTCAGGAAGACCTCATTTTATCACACTTTCCAGTTGCTGAGTTCCTTACAAACTGAACGTATTTTGGTGCCATTTTTCCAACAGCAAGTGCTCACTTTGTATCTCTGTCATATTTTGAGAATTCTCACAATATTTCAAGCCTTTCCAAAATGTTACTGCATACCCATAACATTTATCTGTACTTAGAAAAGTGTGTGATTCCCTTTTATAAATTTCACTTTTATTGTGATGGTCTGGAACCAAACCTTAGATCTCTGAAATATGCCTGTGTATACTATTTACGCAAACTACTAACATTTTGTAGCATTTCCCCTTTTAGACTTTAGCCATAAACATTTCGGTTTTAAGTGGCACTTTGGCCTCAAAGTATTGTACAGCTTTTTTTTTTTAAAAAACAAAACAAAACAAAACAACCCGAACAGAAACCACTGTCTTGCACTATTCTTCTAACATTTTGGCATACCATATAGTAGATGGATTTCCAAAATGGCTGGCCGTGCTGAGCAACACCTCCATTAGCCATATATGGGCTTTTTAGATAAAATAGTATTTTGTTGTTATGTGCCGTAGAGTCGCTTGCAACTCATAGCGATCCTACATACAATAGCCCTAAACTATGCTCTGTCCTGTGTCAACCGCACCGTCTCCAACACACCCATCCCGATTACTCCAGTTGCTGAATCAGTCCACGTCATAGAGGGCCTTCCCCTCCTGCACTGTCCTCCCACCCTACCAAGCATCATGTCCTTCTCCAAGGAC